AAGAGTCACAGAGAACTTTCAATGAACAGTTTTACCACAGCTTGCAGAAAAAAGAGATAATCCAATTATGTCACATTATAGATTTTAAACCCACACTTTGTTATCAAACAAGTTTTTCTATCAAGGTAAAATGCAGTTTATTTAAACTCTTTTCTTCACCTCCAATGACTAGAAAGCAGGCTGTTTTCAGAAATAAGTACTGAAAGAGTGTGGTTTAAGGGGGACATCTGCAATACTTTCAACAATAAAGATAACTTTTTTAAAAAAGTGTGTGGTTTAATGATGATGATAAACCTCTCTATCAAATGGGATGTTAGTTCTGTGCTTTATCTTGATATTTCACAAGACTCTGGACAGCCCTGATACTGAGGAAGTGCAGATGCAAAACGTAGCTGACCTAAAAACCAGAACTGTCCAGTTGTTTTTACAGCGTCCAAGGTGAGACTCAGAGTTAAGAGCAAAATGATGGCAGGCTCCCTCTGTAACAGAAAGGGAATTAAATCATCAGGTATACTAGGATGCCTAATGGTGAATCATTTACTCTGGGGGCATGATCTAATTAAGACCAGTGACTTACAATAAAGGTTTATTCTCATTGGATGGAGGATTTAAATGAAAAAAAAAAGGGGGGGGGGACTTTTGACTTCCAATGGGTGCTCAACAGACTTAAAAGAAATATGGCAGGGTGCAAGAACAGGCTTAGCAGTAACTGTTCATCAAACGAGATGCTACTGACTTTGCTCAATTTTCACCAACCAAAAGACAGCCAATGCTCCTCTTGTCTAAAATGCCTTGACAATTACAGTGTCGATTACGATCCATTCAAAAACCAGGACTTTAGCACACTGCATAAAATGAAGTCAACAACAACAATTACACCAAAATAACTACAAATCCTTATTTTAACTGCTAAGTTGATTCTCTTGTAACTTGAAGGCATCCACAACTCCCAGAATTGTTCAGATGCCTTTAAAGCAGGGCTTCTCAAGCAAAACGCTAATGACATTTGGGGTCAGATAATTCTTGGTTGTCGTGCACGGTAGGATGCTGAGCAGCATCCCTGGCCTCTGCCACTAGATCCCAGTAGCACCCACCCCCCCACGTGTAACAACCAAAAATGCCTACGTGCATTTACCATTTGGAACTACCGCGGTCAAAATCACTTCCAACTGAGAACCACTGCTTTAAAGAGATGGCAAGAAATAAAAGACAAGGAATCAATGCCTTTTAGAACAGGAAGGGATTTTTTTAAGGATCCTGGGCACCAGCGATTCTCAAACTTTGGTAGGTATCAGTCTCCCTGGGCCAGAAAGGAAAAATGCCTTGCCCAAGGTNCATTGGGCTGGAGGGGCAGCCGAGCCTAGCTGGTTAAGGCGGTGCGCTCTGGAACCAGTCGGCCACAGTTAAAATCCCCACTTGGTATCTGAAAGGAGGACGACCTTGCGCAAGGCACATACCTCTGAGTGCCTCAGTTTCCCTTTCTTTCAGATGTAATAATAACAGTACCTACCTCCTAGGGTTGTTGCAAAGTCGAAAAGAGTTAATGAAATAAAGCCCTCGGCACAGGGCCTGGCACATAGTAAGCGCTCAATCCACGTCCTGTTGTTATTATTATTGCCCCACGACTTAAGAATCGAAGGGGTCTGCGGAGCCCCGAGGGCAGAGGGATGGAGATGGGGTCTAGGGGGCTTAAGGACCCCGGATTTCCCCCTCCTCGGGGGCGCACCCCC